AGAATTCCCCAGCCAGCCTGCTGGCTGGGGAATTCTAGGAGTTGAAGTCCACACATCTTAAAGGTGCCAAGTTTGAAATACACCGATTTAACCATATCAAGAATGCAAAGAATAAGGCTGTAGACTGAAATGGACTATACCACTTCAGACTGGTGTGTCATTGTTGGCATCCATGAAAAAACTCATCCCTGTAAAGTTTACAAAAAATAGTTTCTGCCCCCCAATAATGGACAAGGTATCCCCTGCCACCAAGTCTGAAGCCATACAGTCCATTAAATGTTACGCAGGGAGCAAGTTTGGTGTAGTGGTTAAAGCACCTAAGACTAGTCCTGCCTTAGGGACACAGCCACCTGGGTGACCTTGGGCCAGTCCCTCTCTCTCAGCCCTGGGAAGGGGGCAATGGCAAACCACTCCTGAAAAACCTTGCCCAGAAAACTGCAGGCACTGGCCCAGGAAGTTGCCAGGAGTCAACACTGACTCAAAGGCACCCCCCCCCCAAAAAAAAGTCACCGAGGATAATTTCCACATTAACCAAACTTCTCTCAAAGCTGAGAATGACTTTACTTTGTAGTGTGCCTCCTCTTCTGTAATGATGCTTTGGAGGCCAAGGATGATGCCCTTGGGATGGAGGAGCCTTTCATAGTAAACAAAGGCATGGAGGCCCTGAAAGAGATCCATGAGAGAAGGTAAATCATACAGGTAGATTTGATGGATCCCTGTTAAGGAAATCTGGTTTCCAGGAAGCAAAGCATACCAATCAGAATTCATCAGAAAAGAAAGATAAACGTATTTTAAAGAATTTGAATATACTACTGACATAATTTCAGAAGACTGACAGGGATGAAGCCTATCTTAGGTGAAAAAAATTGAAAAAGTATCTCAACTGCTCTCAAATATATCAAAGGATTATGAAAGGTGTTTTCCCACAATGACGAGTAGTATTTAAGTAATACACTGTACTTTCTCTAAGGGTTATGCTTTGAATCTACATATTATACAAATGGTTATATTTTATCCATATAATGGATTTTTAAAAAGAGCTAGATGATTTTCCAAGCTGAGATGCTTTACTGAGAGCATCAGGAACCAAATCAATGGTTACATGCATGCCAGATTACATGTCCTACCCTTCAAAGAGTTTACAGAGACGTGCCACAAAGCTAATGCTGAAAACCAGTAGGAACCTGTGTTGCTCATGTAGAAGTTTAAGCACCTCACAAACTTACTGATCTCTATAGCAAATAACACTCCCCACCCCTAAGCAAACTGTTGACTGGTGGTGAGGGTAATTTTGTTGGAAGTGTCAGTGTTGTCCATAATCTCTTACCTTTCAACAACTTTAGGTGAGATAGGATTACAATTTACGAAGGGAAGGTGTGACTATGTTAGTTTGGGGTGGGTTGAGAGCAGTGGGATGTCTGGCCAGCCCCACCCAACATTGGTTCCAGCCATATTAACTGCCTACTGGTTCCCAAACCAAGTTATCACTGCAAAACAAAACAACAAAAACCACAAACCCTGCCTATTCTTGTCTGGATATAGAACAAAGCAAATATTATTTGTAGACTTCATATAATGTAGAGACCCGCAGTTACTCAAAGATTGTTCGTCCTTTCAACAGAGCCTAAGACGACACTGTGGATTAGGAAGTGACCAATATTCTAGCCTGCCACCTGAATATTACTCAGGATACTGCGCAAATCATCTGAGCTTTTGGTCAATGTGCCACCACCACAAAACTTAGCAGATGTTGCTGAAAACCAACTATAACTGCTTGGTGGTGCACTCTGAACTGTGCAGAAGACTTCATTGGCTCCACAGCTGTTGGCTCCACAGCTAGACAACAGACTGCCCACCCCTATTAGAGGCCACTGGAGTCCAAGAACTGCTGGGTTAAATCTCTGCAAATAAGATAATTGGAAGCAGCTGCCTTTCTGGAGGTCCTACCTGGGTATAAGAGGCACCCCCTGATGTTTGGAGACATGCTGGACACTTTCCCAAGCAGGGTATTCCAGAGTACTGAGCTTCAAGGCTGGGGGACAGGGTTCCTCAGAAAGGTCAAAAGTTGTGTTCAAGTTTCGTGGAGGAGAGCAATTCTGAATGGTTGAGGGAGCCAGGGGCATACGACTCTTAGTAACTGTTGTTGGGCAATATAATGGAATATGATGATCAACTGGTTTGGGAGATGTTGCTTTCATTCCAAGAGGGGTGCTGGTACAATCCACTTGGGCAAAATCAGACCATTCCTTCAGAGAACCCACTTTCTGGGATGAGAGGCAAGCCTTCCGCCGGCGCTTTGCTTGCCCCCTTTGACTAGATGGAATGCTTCTTTCAGACTGTGATGCTTTCCTCCTCTTCTTTATTGAGTAGTGGGGGGTCTCCAAAGTAGCATCTGGAATTAGCTCAGCCTCTGGTTCAGCAGGCTGAATTCCAGGATTGACCTTAGGACTGGCACACTTGGTTGCAGGAAGAGAGGCTGGAAGGACAGCTATGACAGAGAAACAGTGACAAACATTGTTGGTGTTCAGTATACCTGAACTGCCCTGCACTTTCAATATTCCCCCCTCCTCTGAACTTTACCCAAAGAATCACCATGATCCATAAGCTGTTGCACATCCAGTTCTTCATCTTGCCCATCCAAAGCAGAAATGTTCAGGGCTCCATGGGACTCTTGATGAAGTAAGGAAGCCAGCTCGTCAAACTGTACTCTCATTTCAGGAGTGAGGAGGTTGGTGGCTTTCAAACAACTGTACTGCCTTTTGGCTACAAGCAGAGTAGCTAGTACAAGCCTGAAATAAAACATGACTATGAGGTTTTCAACTAGAGAGCTAGCATTTTAGTGTCAAAGTCTAAATGAATGTATGCAAAGAAATGGACTGGCTAGTCTCTGTTTTCTTTCAGCCCCCGGAAAAAGCAAGGGTTGGGAAATGTGGGAACATCTGCAATGTTTATTTGACTCCGATAT